AACTTTGTTTAATTAATAATGGTATTAACTAAAACCCGCTGGTAAAGGGCTGGGTATACACAGGGTATTTATACTCAAGTCAATGAAAATGTTAAATTTTTTTGCCACAAAATTAGACAGCATTCACTTGAAGATTCCCCAAAAGCGTTGATCATTGTACCAAACTCGTGACTATCAAACGTTTAACAACTGAGCAGGTAAAGCTTGGAGGTGTAATTAGTGAATGAAATGAAGCTGATTATTTAGATTCTAAATTTAAAACATAATAAATATGATAGGAACCTACGAGATCCTATTGACTGAGCTATTATTGATTCAAAACTCAAGTCTTCAGGTGGGTGTTTTTGTTTTCATTAAAAATGTCAAAAGAATCGAATGAAAGTTAAACGTTAACTTTAACGTAATCTAGGAACGTATAGAACCCAGAGATGTAAAATGTCTTTATCTATTGAAATGGGTCGCAGCTCTTTAAACAAAACACTGGAAATTATTAAATATACCCAAATACAACTAAACTAAAGTCAAACAAAACTTTACAAACCTGAACCAAGGCTTCTACTTGATGCATCAACATGGGTTTGTTACAGAATTCTACCAAAGGTTTTGGTCTAGAGAGAGTTAGGGGCCTCAGCCTTGTTCCATAGCCACCTACAAGAATCAAAGCCTTCATATTGGGGTGATTCGTTACGGTATTTTGTGGGAATGAGGAGGAAAGTCTAAGAGAAAAGTCACAGGAAATCAACCCTGCAACGTGTCGTCCAGCGATGGTTAGGAGAATCTACAATATGATCTCCAAATATGACGTCATACCAGGAACCTAAGCTTCATAAATTTGTACTAGAGTGCATTTAGTCACCGTTGAATAGTGAGCGTAAGATTTTCAAAGATAAATATGAGAAAATTCGTTTTTTCCTTCATTAGGTTAAGGGCGATATATTTTAAAAGCTTACTGATAAAAATTATACATAATTTCATAGTTTTGATATGCGCTATTGCCATGGCGATAACGAGTGCGTAGAAAGATTGAAATTCAGTTTAAACGGCAATTTATGGGGTACAGAATAAACTTCTTAACGTTTATTTCAGGTATTCTCAATGTGATTTTTTTTCAACAAAAAAGGAAAGAAAAAGACGCTTTTTTTTTAAATTTCCGGAGTATTTAATTTTTGAAAATAATTATTTGCCATGAAGCCGTAAAATAATTATTTCACAGCTTTGGGAATATAAACAACTTCAATAGAGTTCGTGATGTGTAATACTACTATCAACATTTATTTTTTGATTCCCAGACTAGTATCATTATTGGGAAGCCTGTGCTTTTTTCTACATTTTACCCGGAAATGACGTTATGGTGGATGTATGACGTCACGGGTCAGTAGCCTGTGAAGGGGAGGTCTCTGTTCTTGGAGCTTCTTGCTCATGATAGAACTCGTTCACTGCTTCATTTTCTGTTCTTATTTGCTCATCAAATAAACAAATTAGTGAACTTATTCCACGATGTCGCATCAGACTGGTATCCAAGGTAAGTATTTTACATCTTGGTTTGAGATGTGGGTAATCTTTATAGCTATTTTTTGACGATTCTTTCACCTCACTTTTTTTTTCAACTCGCAATACCTGAACTCCTAGATTTGTCGTTTTTATTTGATGTGATCTGTGTTTTATTTATAATAAACCCAAAGATGTGAAGACTAATGATTTAAGTACATATTCGATAGGTATTATAGTTTGGTTAGTTAAAGAATGCAGTAAATCAAAGATAGTGTCGTTCAAGGATAAAGAAAACATTAGATGGATCCTGAAGGGAGGTTGTTGGAACAATATAAGCTTATTGCGGAAATACATAGTATATTTAGTGCTTTCCCCAGTAACTTCCCTATTAACGGTCCCTTTTCATATGTACTACTTTTTCTAAAGCATTCTGATCGATTAAAAGTGTGAAATACTAAAAATTGTCAACTACTTTTGCAAAAGGTATACTGTAGTGTACAGAACTGTGCTGTCATACATCTATGTGAATCCACATTGCCCGCATCCATATATATCAAGATATTATTAATAATTTCTTACACTCATTATTTATCGCATGGTTTTTGAATACTTTTCCTTCTGTACTAGCTCATAAGTATTATTTTAAACATGTTTTGTTTTGGTCATTGAAAAGAGAAAATTCAAAGAGAAGGTCGTAAAATTTGTGGATGGCACCGGCTGTCACACCTCATGTCATTCTGTCACATTTGCATCCCAACAACAGGAAGCATTTACCCTCAAAATGGAAATTTAGGCTAGGACGTATTCCTTGAATTTTATATTATGCAAAACCTTATATAGGGTTGCTTATTTCTATATTTGGGACGCATGTTATTTTATAGCCACCTCGTTGGTCGATGATAACAAATCATTTCTCATTAGCTTCTCTTGTTAGATCAACCAACATGGCAGCTGTTTCATTGTTATTTATAACTCAAGGGATTTTCAGTCATGCACACCAAGAATAGTGATATGTCTTTTGAGTGTACTGCATGAGAATGATAGCATAGCATGTTGTCATATCAGAAATACAACCTTTACAATTTCTTTTGTTTGGTTGAAACATTGCTTATGTACATTGCTTATGTACTACATCTCACCCCTATCGTAATGGGTTTTTGATACTCAGACTCAAAGTCATGTGTGAGCAGCTGTGTTTGTTGGTTCTCTTTGTAGTTTGAGCATTTTTCTCCTGCCTTTTTGTCTCTGCAAAAGGCAACCTCCAAATTTCCATTCAACGCTGGCATTGAGACTTGTGTGGCTCTCCTTATCTTAGGGAATAAAGGGTGGGTATTAATACACTCACCTCTGGGCTCTAGGCCATTTATAGCTTGTTCCCTGCTAGGCTCAGTCAGTAATTTTCCTGTCTGGCCCTTCCTCAGTCAATAAGTATGTATTCTCTTAGTTAGCAATGCCCTGACTTACATATCAGTTCAGGTAGATATTAATCAGTGGTTCAATAAATTATGTTTGATTTGAAAAGTGAAAGACACCACCTTTATATTGTGGTCTTTTATTTTGGTATTTTAGCTTTAATATTGTTTATTAAATTATGCATTTATTTCCTCAGCTAATGATGATTTGAAATCATTGTTTGCTCAGTCCAAAGAAGGTGACATACGAGTCATTAAGATTGACATCATCGACGGTAATAATATTTTACTTTATTCGCATTCTCCTTTCTTTAAATGTTTCCAAAAATTAAGATTATAATACCATTTTATATCTTCTTGACAACCTAACCACCTTAGTTACTAGAGTAGGGAGGGGGAGAATAGGGGGCATGTGCCTCCCCCTCCTCCCAGAAGTTTGCTTTCAACACAAAAAAAATATTCCTGTGGGATTTCTTTAGATTTGGTAGGGAAAATGGTACGTAAATGGTATAACCCAAAAAGCATTTTTCCCTGTTATAAGTCTTTTTAGCTATGAATAATGTTTTCCCATTTTAGACCATGTGTCATTCCCTAGCCTATCATTCCTTCGTTTAATGGTTATGCATGAGAAGACGCATGGATTGGATATAACTCATACAAATCATCTTGTTCTAAAAAGAGTGACACATGCTCTCAAATGAAAAAAAAACACATCCAAGCTAAAGAGGTCTATGTCAATGCTCTAAAATTGAAATCAAATACCACTTTTTTTGATTGCAGAGGAACTCACACCTGTTACGTCGCTGGAACCTGCAAACGACTGGGAGACTGATATCCTTTGAAAGCATCAACTGTTAGAGCACTCAATCATATTGTTTTCCTCTTTTAGATCATGTCATTCTCTTGAGTATCATTACTATGTTCATCAGTAGAACCTACTGTAAACAGATAATTAAAATGCACAAAATGACGATAAAATCTCATGCCCTGATATAAGTCAAGGCATAACTAACTCATATATCAGATTAAGCATGATGTTAGTTCTGTGGGAAAAAACCCAAATCTATGGAAAGACCCAAAAGACTCTACTCATGTGATGCTAAGTGGAATGGAATCCCAGGGCTGAGAGGCAAATAGACCCTTTTAGCTTGGACAAAAAGGTTTTCCCATTAAGAACACATGTCATTCTCTATAGAATAAGATTCTTTGTTCGATTTGTATCCATATTCATGTGTCTTCAAATTCTTATTCATACACAGCCATTAAACAAAGAAATGATACTCTTGGGAATGACGTGATCTGAATTAGGAAAACATCACACCCAAGCTAAGTTGGTCTATACTTCATCACCACTTCTTCATTGATTCAGTAAATTTGATCTATCATGCGAGTCAGAGGAGGAATATGAGTAGATTAGCACCTAATTTAGTCATTTATAAAATTTATTATTATTATTATTATTATTATCATTATCATTATTATTATGAGTTACCATATATCATTCTTCTTGACTTTCCAAACACTTTGATCTTGTCCCCCCATTACTGGAGGCCAAGAAATCATGCTACCTTCTTTATCGACTGGACACAAAGAACAACCAAGGATATGAATGGTTATTCATTGTCTACACTCCTGACTTTGCTCCAGTATGTATGTCTCTCTCTTTTTATAGACTTTCCTTTAAGTCTAGCAACAGGCTTCTAATTGGCTCAATTGATTGGGCATTGGGATGTTGTACAGGAGGTCGACATGGTTTCAAGCCTTGACTGGGCCAACACTCAGGGTCTTAAAATATCTGAGTTGAAGATGTTGCCTTTGCTCTAAAAAAATATCTGCAAATGGTTAGACTTTGGTTATGGCTTGGATGACCACAAAAATGGTGGTCTTATTCATAAATTAAAATACAGTGGAGGACCACAAGTTTATCAGATTTGACTTTCACATGTCGTCCTTTTAAAGTTGATTTATTTTATTTATTAACTAGTAACAAGTAGGTTTTTTGTTTTCTCTAGATTCGAGACAAGATGTTGTTTGCTGGTACAAAAGCTACATTGAAGAAGGAGTTTGGAGGAGGACATGTTAAGGATGAACTCTTGGGATCAGAAAAGGTAAGAATATTATAGAAAACAAAAAAAAGCAACATGTGAGGTCTTACCGTAACTTAGAATATCAGTAAGATGTTGTTTAAGGATGCATTTTTTCTCTAAGTGAAATTTGAACACTGTAAAGTATACTAGTATGCAGATTAATAAGAAGAAATAACTAGCTAAAAACTAGTGTGAGCTGCGTCGGTGTTTCTAATGAAACAGTAATGATAAAAAGGTAAATTATACACCGTGAGAAGATGAAAAAACATAGTATGCAGATTAATGTTGATTTAATTCATCCCTTTTCTATGAAAATGATTTAAATGAACTTTTTGTCTTTAAGGGTGATATCACTCTTGATGCCTACCTCAAGCAGAAAGAAGCTGAGCATGCTCCACCACCACTAACAGCAGAAGAAAGAGAGTTACAAGATGTCAAACACCAAGAGGTACAATTAAACATCAAAGCCGGAGAGTGGGTGTTGGGAAAAGGGTCATGGTAGTTTTCATGGTGGTGCACTCATCTCTACTAATGTTTCTACTTAAGAAGGACAGATGACCCCGTCCCCCCCCCCCCCCCCCCCCCCTGCACACACCCTAATAATAAATATTCCCTTACCACTACATACTCAACCTGTGTTATATCTGTATGTATAGGGTGCCAGGACACACATAAATGTTTCCACTAAGGTGTCTCACACGACAGGTGTTCACCCACCCCCCACACCCTAATAATAAATATTCCCTTACCACTACATACTCAACCTGTGTTATATCTGTATGTATAGGGTGCGAGGACACACATAAATGTTTCCACTAAGGTGTCTCACATGACGGGTGTTCATTTTCCTGTCAACGACCAAGGAATTGAGAGCTTACAGAGACTACAGAACAAGGAGATTCAATATGTACAACTTGTGAGTACTATCCCAAATATAATGTACACATATGTACTTCATGTGTACTAGATAGATATGTGCTAGCTCTTGTCAGAGATAGGAATTGATGACTCTTATAACTCCAGTGTATGTGGGCTAAGCCTCACTTCTGAGCTTGGTAAACAAAAGCAGAAATCCAAATAACAAAACAAGCAAATCCTGGATTTGAAGCTAAGCCCGCATACACTGGAGATTTAAGAGTCATTAATATTTAGCTCCTTAAAGGGGTTGGTGTGGAAGCAGGGTGGGGTCTGGAAAATTTAGGTACATAGAAGTGTTCAGGAACTACTGTAGACAGTGCACATTATGCCTGTTTTCCTTCCCTTTATTACCCACAACCACAGAAATCTTTTCTTTAAGTTACACCTACAGGGCTGCTATGAAGTGATATGCAAGCATTGGGCTCCCTGTGTCTGTAAGAACGAGACAGGTTTAGTCCTTAGTAACAAGGTTTTTCATTCTTTTGCCTAGAAATTGAATATAGAGAATGAGACAATTGAACTTGCTGGTGAAGAAGGATCAGTAGAACCTGCTGATCTTGCTGGGCTGGTCCCTACGAATGAAGCACGATATCACTTTTATCTGTTCAAACACACCCATGAGGGAGATTACATGGAGTCAATAAGTAAGTTGTCAAGTTAATAACAGTTTATTAAAATTTAGTTTTTCGTTTATACACAGCTTGCAGCACCATGTTTTTACTCCATACTCAAGGCTGGTAGATTAACCTCCCCCTTCACACCCCCCAACCCAACCCAACTTTAAAAAGTGCTCTGTTGTCCCTGATACTACTCACTTCATGCTACAGTACATTTAAAATTTGCTATACACTCTTAGCTTACCTGTTGATATTTACAGAGGGAGTAAAACAAATCAATTGTTTATGGGAATCAAGGATGGTGTAGCAGCAGTGCATTTACCTCTTACCTCTGCAGTTTTGAGTCCTAATCCTAAAATCAGCATTGCATGACAGTTTATAAGGTTTTCCCTTGATAGACCTCTTGTATGTAATGCAAAGCAGTCAAATTTGGAGGATGAAACAAAAGCATTTCAATCTCATGAGAATTGGAAACCTATTATCATCGCCATGTCCTCCTACCCAGCTTGCAGAAGTCTTTTTCTGCCCTCCCTTTTGGTTAGCCTGCCTTGCAGGAATTCATGTCATCTTGCCTCCTTCCTGTGGTGTTAAGCCTAAAGGTACACATAGTAAATGGTTGGTGATGATGTCCATCAACTTTACCAACTCAATAAAATTTAGATGTGGAATATATTTTATTGTAATGTTTGTATTTTTGTAGTGTTTATCTATTCAATGCCTGGCTATTCCTGTGGAATCAAGGAAAGAATGCTCTACTCTTCCTGTAAGGGACCTGTGGTAGATTTTGCAGAGCAGCAGATTGGCATGGAAATACCAAAAAAGGTAATGGCCGAGCATCAGCAACAGTGTCAAACTCAAGCATTGCCATCATCATCWTCTTTAACACTGATATCAACATGTATTTTTATGCATCATCATTATGCACCATTATCATAGTTTGCTATCATCATGAATCATCATCATCGTCATACGTCATCATTATCATGCACCAATATAATCATCATTGTTCGCCATGATCATCATTATGTATCATCATGCATCATCTTGTATCACCATCTTGCATCATCATCATCATGCATCATCATCATCATCATGCATCAATATCATACATCTTCATCATGAATGCATCATTATCATGCACCGTCATGCATCATGTATCATCATGCATCATCATCATGCATCAATATCATACATCATCATGAATGCATCACCATGTATCATCATGCATCATCATCATTATCATCATCATGCATCACCACCATACATCATCAATATCATCATCTTTTTTGGTACTAAATTTCCTGATTGCATTTACATTACTAAGACCTATTCCACTTAAGATTGAAATTTCAGACATGTCTGAAATCAATGAAGACTTCCTACAAGATGAACTCCACCCAAAGAAAAATCTCCATCGCCCAAAATTCGCCAAACCAAAAGCACCTTCCGGCCGTGGCGCACGAAGAATAACAAAGCCCAAGAAACGTGAAGAAGGGTCTGAAGACTAAGTGATATTTTACAATTATACGATGGTGATTGCTTTATAATGAATTTTGTAGCTATAAGGTTTTTTATGTAACAGATAAACTAGTGTTTATACTGATATATATTCTAATAACGCAATAATGAATATCGTAAATGTTTTATTCCTTTCTAACTTGTCGAGAATGAGATTTGATAAGCTGCGCTGGCTTTAGTTGAAAGGAAATTTCGATTCTGTTTGATCGGAGTGAACTCGGAGAAAACTTCGGTCGTCGGCAAAATAAAGGGCTCCTGTTTTTGGCACCTTTTTTCGCCAAACGAGTAGTGCGTCTTACTTTAGGATTCCTGTGGAAAAACGAAATGGTATAGGGGGATGGTTCACTCGCTGTTCACTCGCTGATTCGTTTTAAAACAATTGCCTTGACAAGTGGACCGATTCATTCTTACATTTCTTTTTTGCGATGAAGGCACAGGTAACCCATATCGATTTTTTTTACATTGTACTCGGTGCTCACGCTCCGCAGACTGGATCCCCGTGTTTGTCGATTTAGTTTACAGTAAATACAAAACTAGAACTGCACAGGTGCCCCATTTATATGGACGTGACTAGAGAATCCAATTCTGTTAATCGACTTGCTTGATACGCGCACCAAGATGTCCTAAGTTGCATCCTCGAACCATGCACTTGTTCCGATTCCTTTCCTAATTTCTGAAAATCCTTAAATCGGTTAATGCATAAAAGAAGAGATCAAAAGTTCCGCCTCACGTTTGTCGATTGTTTTTAATTCAGCCTGAAATGCCTCTCACTGAGTTGAAACCGTTAATGCGCAATTAAATAGATTCTTAGATCCACCCTAAGTGATCTAAGTGAGATCCTTCATGCCACCTTAAGAGACCTCTAAGATTTTAATTCTTGTTGCTCCAGCCTGAAATGCCTCTCACTGAGTTGAAATGACGCCTAAGTGATCTAACATTAAGTGAGATCCTTCATGCCACCCTAAGCGATCTCTAAGAGCTCTCGCAAATGGACCAAAATAGCGGGGAGGGAGGAGGGGGAGTTATGGGTATTAGAAAAGACAAGCAGACGCAGTTGACTCATTTTTGGCCCATAAAAAGTTAGAGGCCAAAATACTCTACTGCTTTTATGATACCGTTATTAGCATTGTAATATTGTATGTTGTACAGTATTGCTAAAAAATGCGAGTTTCAAAATTGAAAACTGAAACGATTATTGTACCGATACTCGATAGCACTTCCAACCAGAAGCGAATCCACTAAATATGGTAAGCCTGACGGGTGGCGAAGTGGTAATAGCGCTCGTCTCTCGCTAATGCGAACTGAGTCGTATTCGCGGACTTGATGTGATAAGTAATTAAAGTTTCTAGTTCCTGTCGGGTGTTTCGTTGGTTTTTCTCTGGTTTTCCTCCCTCCGCAAAAATCAACTTCTAAATTCCAATTCGATCATGGAACGAGGGCCACAGGTTTGTTAGACACTGGCTATTTTATTTTTATTTTTTAATCTTTTTTTACTTGAAAGTGCCACCCTCGTAAAACAACAACAAAAATTGTAAGTTTGATTTAAACAAATATTTGCCCAACATCACGCCAACATTTCGCTAAAAATGTCATCGGGCTTATTCAGCCAACAAATGTTAGGTCATATGTTGGGCCGTTTGCCGTTTTTCTAGATTAGCAGACACACCCCATCAAGGATACAGTCTCTCTTACATGTGAAAACGCTTTCATGTTTCTATGTTAACACGAGGCAGTTTTCAGAAATTTACAGTTTCCAAAAATTTTGGCGGAATACTTTGCGAGGATAAGCTAGGCTATTAGATCTTTAGTTCAAGTCAGAATTCGTGACATCTATGCTTGCTTACACTTACAAGCCATTGGTTAATGAGGATTAGCCGTTCCGAGGTTGAGGAGAAAACTAGGGCGAGTTGTCATTTTGGGGCTGATTTAGGGGACGTTTTCCAAGATGGCGTCTATCTTGTCCCCTGAAACTCCCACAATACACTGCAATGCAAACTCGACCCAGTTTTCTCCTCAACTTCGAATGGCTAATAAAGGCAAACCCATTTATATCTTATATTTTGTTAATGCAATATCGAAAATAGGTGTGACCAACGCGATCAAGCACTATAATGGAACGGTAATATTTCACTTAATCAACCAAGTATTGGAACCGGTGCGAAAAAGTATTTCTTGGTCAAAAGTAGTACATTTTTTAATTTCTCATCCAGTTCTATGTACGTGTGGTAAATGATCTTGCAGATTGGACTTTCATCCACACGTATCCGGTGAATACGCCACTGAATAAGAACAAGGAACTTTTTGAAAGCGATTCGAAAATGCTTCGTCTAGACATGAGGTTTTTTTTTTTTTTTTTCCGTTTTGCTTTGAAACGGAATAAAATATTCGCATAGGCGGTGTGGAGCGTGGGGCGTTAATAAAACCCGGCTGGCAAAATTACTATATTTATTCTAATATTCCAACAACAAATGTATGTTTTCTTACAACAAAAATCATATATATCTATATAATTTGTTTTGTAAGAATACATTTTGTCGTTGGTCGGTAGACCATTATTTCTGCTGATGCGCAAGTATAATTTCACGCCCCTGGCGATGAAATCGAATCCATCTATCTAGATGATCGTTTTTTAAAAGGGTAATTTGGATTCCACAAATTAACGGTATATAGTTAGCATGGCTAGAACTCCTAATATACAATCCTATAATACGGCTTATATGTCCTTATCTGTACAACTCGTACGTTTTCTAATTTGGTTGCTTTATTTAGATCATAGAATAGATGTATCTTGAAAAATATCACGTCTGAGTTCGTTATAAGTATCAGTAACCGACGAGATTAAAAGCTCGAAAAACGCAGTGAYGTCATTGAATAGCGATATTCACTAGGCAAATGTAACTTTTATCTTTACTAACTGCTAAAAAGTTTCATTATTGTCCAGAAAAACTAAAAACTGAGCTTTAAAATGTAATTTTATAAGAGAAAATAAATCGGCATAGGTTTTCTTGGATCTTCATTGGCAATGGCAACGCCTACTCGCGCCACTCAATAATATGTGCAGTCGCATTACCGATAGAACAACGAAATGAATGTCAAATATAAATTCAAAATTACGGAAAACGGTGGGTTGAATAAATAACAAATAATAAAAAACGGGAGGAAAAACTATCGATTATGAAAGTCGTATTTGTTTTTCAAGATTGAAGACAAAACTGAGAAAATGATGTTTGGGCGAACGTGATATAAGATATTGGCGTTGATAGCCTTGTACGTTTTGTTTTAGATTCTCTAAGGCGTACAGCGAGTAATACGCTTCCTTTCAGCGTTATGCATACTGAATAGAACATTATGAACCTTTTAAAGCCCAACCAGGGGATCGTTTTAGGAAACTAGAGTCTTGTATCTAACGGCGTTTAACAAGTAGTTCACCTGTCGTCGCATCGCTATAGACTATGCCCTGGTGGCTGCGTATTTTGATGCTTTCACACCAGGTCATAAACAAGAAGTTATTTCATTTATCAATACAACCCACAAATGAYTTGTATTACGATGAAACCTCGACTCACGCGATTTTAATTATCCTGCAAAATCATAAAATCATTTATTATAAAATGTGCTTATGTTAAACTTATTTCAAAATGAATATTTGAGGAAAATTAAAGATTTCATAACAAACGCTTGCCCGTCATCCTCGGGAATCCAAGTGCTGTAAAATTCTGTCGCTCGTTTCTCGCTACCGAAAAAAATACTTAATTTTTTTTCTGGTAGCGAGAAACGAGCGACAGAATTTTACAGTACCTGGATTCCAGAGGATACGTGCTCTTGTGATTCATCGACTCGCGAAATTGTGGCTCACATGAAAATATCTGAAGTGTAGCTCTTTAGTAACGGTTGATATGATATATATTGTTAACTATAAATAGTGTGAGTAGAAACGTGTTCTGTGTTCTTCCAAAGGATGAAATTAAAGCAAATATGTATCAGAAGAGTTCTAGAGACCCAGACATGACATGATTGCTGTAAACGCTATACCTTCATTAAAAGTCCTCGTTTTCGAAGGTCACCTTTTTCTATGTATTTTGTTCTATTTTCGTACATAAAAAGTACCGATTMATTGATTGAAAGATAAGAAAGATTATTGCACCATGATTATCTCGCATCTTTATCTCATACGCACTCAAAATAAGAGTATAACTCGCAAAAAAAATCAAGAGACCAATTGAATTTTGCAAAATTTCCGAACAATACCGCCCAAGGAAAATTTGTTCACGTTCTGGGGTAAGTGAGTAACTTAAACTTTCTAAATATACAGTTTCTTCTATTATGAGTTAATCTAATTGAGCTGATCTGTTATGACTTTAGTCGTACGAGGAATATTTGGACGGCTTTTTTCGCTAAAACACTCTTACTATGTTTTCTGTATTCGGCCTATTGATCACGAATTCTTCGATTGCACTGGCGTCCCTAAAACGATTTTATGAAAACCTGCAGCAGTTAAAGTGCTTATAAGCTTTTACACAATATTTTCAGAATTGATTCTTTAGATAGTGGATAGTTGATTGTGAAAATAATTCGTCATTTGAATGTCGGGTCGGGTTTATATTTCCAATATGTTAAGGACTATGACGTAACATAAGGGATTTGAGTTATTTTGTGGCAACTTTTAATATTGAACGCTGGACATTTTTTGAAAACAAATTTGTAAGAACCTTTACGTGAGTCACGAGTAAAAGGGTGATGCTTTTAAAATACTGTATTCCAGAACGAGTGCAGTGTTGTATATTAAATGATCCCTTATGTCACGTCATAGTCATTAACATTTTGGGAATATAAACCTTCGTATCCGAAGTCCCGACATTCAAATGACGAAATATTTTCACAATCAACTATCCACTATGTAAAGAATCAATTCTGAAAATATTGTGCAAAGGCTTATAAGGACTTTAAGCATAGAATTGTTTCGATAAATTGATAGATAGATAGATAACAATATTTGATGTCAATATGTACAATGAGCCAGAGACTCGTAATAAATACATTCCAATAACTCGATCCAATAAACCAATTTCCTGAGGAGTTATTTGAAAACACAAAACGTGATTGTTTAGATTTGGTTAACTATTCTCTGAAAATATCATACATCAGCTAATGGAGCCACTCTAATATTCCCAGTGCAAAATAGAGACAGGCAATCCGAGTCGCAGCAAACGAAAAGCCTAGCAAAAGAACGTATTATCATGGACGGCGGAGACGGGGGGGGGCTGGAGGGGCTTTAGCTCCCCCTTTTTATGAGAATTACATTTTCATTTTTCCTAGAAATGAGAAAAAACGTTCGCCTCAAAACAGGGAGGGGAGGGAAGGACTGCACCCCCCCCCCTACCCCACCCTACTTTTAAAACTGTTCCAAAGTCCCTGATTAATCTGATCTTTTCCGAGTAAGCTCAAAATATCTATGGCTAGGTTTCTAGATGTGATGTTTCCGAATTTAGCATTTTAGTGTCCTAATGTGTAACCCAAGAATCGTCTTTTAAAACACGTCTTTCCAAAATCTATAAATATATATATTTTTGCTTTTATATAATTCTACAAAATAAAAATTTGAGTAAACCATAAATATAGACAAATGACTTCGTAATTACGAAACTAAAAAAATAATATTGGTACAAAATTTTAAGATAAAATAAATCATGTAGATAGTTATTATATGAATAATGTCTTTATGCCAGAACCCATGAAAATTTTATTCGAGTCATCTATATTGCACAGTTTTTTATTTTCTATAAATGAATAGGATGTGCATATCAGAGCCGATATTTTTACTCCAGAAAGCCAGTACTGCTGAACTGGTATTGCTCTTCGGCAAAAAAGGGGCGTTTCTAAGGTATATGTCTAATTTACTTTTGAGACGAAATTTTCTCATATCGTAATTGCCGTTAATTTAATCAATTCAGTCTAAATTTCTTTTTTTTTTTTTTTTTTTTTTTTTTAGGAAAAATAAGCTATGGTATTCGAAGAATATATTCTTTTTAAATAATAGGCACGGTTCAGACGTCGAATTTCACGTTTCTTTATTATAACTAATGCCGAAGAATTGCTGAGGGACACTTTGTGTCAAACTCTTTGAGATTCGGTCGTTAATCCGTTTTTGTTTTTTTGTTTTTGTTTTTGTTTTGTTTTTATTGTGAATGCCGGGTAAATTCTGAATTTTAAACTTATCACAGGTTTGCCATCAACTGAAAACAAAAACTAGTAAATATATTCAATTAATCCTTTCTTATAAAGTGGAGATGAATTGTGCACTTTACTCTGGACTTGAGAACAAAATTCTTGACTAAAACCATAGTTATTGATCCAGGCTTCGCTGTTAAAGTATTTCGTATCACATTTCAGATTTCGTATCAGTCGGGGAATAGAACGGGGTTGAACTTGTRGGGAAAGATATAATAAATCTGTTTTGTGTACCGTAACCGTAGCTGCGCGTTGTGATTGGATAATTTACACAAAAACAAATGGAAGCCATTTCAATGTTACGTCGTGTCCGTGTACGTGCTGTAATTTATTATCGTACGATTTCAATCCATACGAAAACCTTTCTTTGGCAAAGCCATAGCCGCTCTAGCCTTACTGGCAAATTCTATTGTATTAAGCGTTATAATTAGATGAATATTTACRAAAACATAAGGAAGCCATTTCAGTGTTACGGCATGTTGTACTGTGTATGTGTGCTTCTAAGTCAGTACTGGTGTACGTTTCTCATTCATAGAAGAACTGCTCTACAGCAAGCTCTTACTGTAGGCTTACCCTTCCTATTCTATTGTTTTAAACGTCATTATTGGATGAATATATTCAAAAAATACAATGGGAAGCCATTTCAGTGTTACGGCATGTTGTACTGTGTATACAGTCAATTCAAAAAACGTTGTCGTCGACCGGCTCAAGCCTACGCGACTGGACCGAAAGGAATATGGGTAAAATTCACTGAAGCGGTTAATAAATATTCGTTCTGAATTGTTTGTTCCCGCTAGTAATAAGATAATGATGGCGAGAAACAATCCATCAAATGCATGTCTTTGGGTTTAGGGAAAGAAAAACAAAGTAGTTATGATTCAGTTCACAATTCCGAAAATATGAAGGCATTAAAAAAACGTCTCCTTCAACACTTCCCGTTCGCCTATGAAGGTTCGTGCTGTAAACCAGGCATAACTAGTCAGATAAAATTATGGAGTCAATTCGGCTTCAATGATTACTACCCAGAGTTCCTTTCGGTCCAGTCGCGTAGGCTTGAGCCGGTCGACGACAACGTTTTTTGAATTGACTGTATATGTGCTGCTAAGTCAGTACTGGCGTACGTTTCTCATTCATAGAAGACCTGCTCTACAGCAAGCTCTTACTGTAGGCTTACCCTTCCTATTCTATTGTTGAAACGTCATTATTGGATGAATATATTTAAAAAATACAATTGGAAGCCATTTCAGTGTTGCGGCATGTTGTACTTAATATGTGTGCTGATAAGTCAGTACGTGATCTGCGTTTCTCATCTATGGGAGAATTGCTCTCCAGCTACCCGGCTGATTGTATCGTATCAGGCGTTATAATTGGATGAATATTTACAAAAACACTGTGAAGCTATTACAGTGTTACGGTATTTCGTACTGTGAACGTGTCCTAAATTTTTCCCTACTCTACGATCGAACCCAAATCAACATCTGTCGTACGACTTAGAAGAATAACCATGCTTTTTAATTTTGTTAACTAGACGCTTAACATTATGTTATTATTTCTTGCCGTTTTGATTCATGTATTTTTTATCATTCAAATGTATGTTTTATTTATTCTTCCAATTAAGTTTTAATATGGGAGTGAACATAGCTTGCCACATCTGTAGTGCCCAATCATGTTACCATCGTTATAATGAATTTGAATCGATTTTTCGTTTATTTTATTTATCTCTGGTTTTTTTTTTTCCGGCTACAAAGTTGAGTAAATGCTGACTTAATTCTCATCCTTTCCTCAGAAATATCTGTTCGTCTTGTATCTAAATTAATAAGTTTTCTGTAAAGGACCAGTACTTAGAAGACACCTGCTTTGGTATAGACTTTCCGGAGTTGCGTTGCATTATGGGGCTGTTTTGAAGGACTCTTCATCAGTGAGTCATTTCACATGCCGAAAGAAATCTGAAAATTAACACGACAGTTTCCTATCACTTTCCTGTCACTTTTCGTTATCAGCAAGCGAAAAAGACGCTCATATAAGTATTAAAGCTTCCCCTAAAACAGCTCCATGGCGCAAGGTGTTCGTTCTACAACTCCGGAGGAACAGCTATAATACGTTTTCTTATAACCAAATGTCGGCGATGCGCAGGACTTATTTATGTAGTCCCACCTTTTTCCGTTTCGCACAAGTCTTCAAGACTCAACATGCATCAYCGAACAATTTATTTTACAATTTTTTTGATTAAAGTCATATAAGGAACCCGTCAGCTAGTTAGAATTGCAATTGTTATGATCATTTAGTTAATGTTTGGGAACACCCATACCTGCTTGACTTAAACTGCTTGTTATTCTAGCCAATTAGCACTTCTCTTTTCATGCTTTTTTGTGCTGTTATCCTTCCCAAAGCTATTTCTTCAAAACTTCAAACCTTTTTATTTATTTTTTT